AGCACTCCGGACGGCTTCACCTCCTTTACCACCGACCGCTCCACCGAGAGGCCCACGTCCAGGGTGTCCTTCTTGGCTTTCCTAATGTACACCTCGGTTCCACTCTCTACTCCCTTACTGCCTCCTTTCCCAGCCTGCAGCTGCCTCTGCTGGTACCTCTTCGCGTCCCGCAGCTGCGCCGTGTGCAGATTCTCGAGTGCCGCTGGCATGATCTTCTTCAGGTACCTTGCTCGCCAGTCTGCCAGGGCTGCCCACTTCTCTGGGGTTCCGGCTTTCACGATCCCGGTCAGGACCTTTAGGGCGTTCACAGGCAGCATCGGCTCCTTCCCGTACAAGAGGTAGTACGGCGAGTAGTCCCTCAGGGCGGCTTGCCTGCTGAGCCTGTATCCCGCCGCGACCCAGTGCAGCTCTTGGTCCCAATCCTTTTTGTGCTCTTCTCCGTAGGCTCGCGGACCCTTCTTGATCGTCTGCACCATGCGCTCGGACAGCCCGTCTGCCTGTGGATGATACCGCGAGGTCCGGCGGTGCGTTATCCCCACTCGCTTCAGAAGCTGATCGAATGCTCCCCTGAACTCTGTCCCCTGGTCGGTCAAGACCTCCCTGCATGCTCCGAATCGCGTCAGTACTTGGTCTGTAAACGCCTCAGCGATCAGTTCGGCGCTCTTGCTGCTGAGCGCTCGCACCTCCACCCACTTGGACACGTGCTCGATCATGACGAGCACGTAGTGCTTGTTCCTGCGACTCATCGGCAGCTCTCCTGCCAGGTCCAGTGACCACCGGTACCCCAATCATCAGATTGGGAGTGACTGCAGCTCCTGCTGCTCCCTCTCCAGCGTGGCCTTGTTTCGGCTGCACAGCTCGCATTCTGCCACGACTCTCTTTACGTCCCTCTGCAGGCCGGCCCACCACCATCCTGTTGTTAGCAGCTGGGCCGTCCTCACATGTCCGTAGTGTCCCAGCTGTGCGTGCACCTTCTCGATGAGAGCCTTCCGGAGTTCTGGTGCGGGCACCATCTTCCAGCCTTCCCTGGACTCCACTTGCAGCTGCTGCTGGTACCATCGGTAGTGCCTGCCCCGCGCTCTCACTCTCTCTCCCACGTCCTCCTCTGCTTCTGTCTCTCCCTTCACCCATCACAATGCTTCTGTGTCCTCCCACACATCCTCTGGCCCCTTTCCTCGGTACCGCCTCTCCTCGGTCTCCCGCATGCCGCTGGCCAGCGCCACGAGGCAAGCCGACGGTGAGCACCCTTCCAGTGGGGGTGGGTTCCTTGACAGCCCGTCTACATGCTGTAGTGTCTTCCCCGGACGGTGCCTTATCTTGAATTCGTACTCTTTCAGCCTCATCGCCCACCTGGCGTTTCTTCCCGTCAGCGTTTGGTTCGTCATCAGCCACGTCAGGGGCTGATGATCGGTCACCAAGGTAAAGGGGCTGCCTTGCAGGTACAGCCGGAAGTGCTCCACGGCCCATACCGCCGCCAACCCCTCCCCTTCATAGGAGCTGTAGTTCGCCTCTGTAGGGCTGCAGCTCCTGCTGGCGAACGCCACAACTCTCTCTCCCCTGTCCGTCTCCTGACATAGTACCGCTCCCATGCCTAGGCTGCTCCAATCTGTGTAGAGCACGAACGGCCTGTCCCTCTCTGGAAGCATCAGCACAGGGCCTGTTTTCACTGCCCCCAGCAGGTCCTTCAGGGCTGCGTCTTCTTCCTCTCCCCACTTCCACGCGGTACTCTCCTTCAGCAGCTGGTTCAGTGCGCTTGTCCTCTTGCTGAAGTTGGGCACGAACTTCCTGTAATCGTTTAGGAAGCCCAGGACCGCTCTTAGCCTGCTGCGGTCTGTTGGCACCGCCACCTTGTCCAGGACCGCCATCTTCACCTCCTGGACTGACAGTGTCTCATCCGACACCTCGAATCCCAGGTACTTCACGGTGCTCTCACCAAACCTGCAGTTGCCCGGGTGGCAAGTCAGCCCTGCCTGTGAGAGTACGACGGCTTTGCTATGATTTACTAGCTTTATTATGCTTTATTATGCATTATCTAGCTTAGCTTTGCTTTATTTTGCTTGCTTTTGCTAGATTTCCTAGGTTCGTTGCTTTACTATATTTATTATAGCTATAGGCACCGAACTAGGTTGAGTGCACCGAATTCTAGGCTTTTCGGTTGCCACCGAATTGCCTTCTACCGAATTCAGGAAGGACCCGTTCGGGACGCTTCGCGACCCGCGGAACCTTCTAGTAACACCCGGGTTACTGCCTTTGTGTCGAGCCTATATATAGCCTCGCCTTGTACCCAGGTGGATTATGGAATAGTTTAATCTTTCCTGAACCAGATCCTCACACTGCCTCCATGATTGCTCCCAGCACCCTCTCCACATCCGCCACGTGCGACTCGGGGTCCTTGCCGAAGATGATCACATCGTCGATGTAGCATGCTGCACAGTCCACATCCCTCAGCACCGTGTCCATCACTTGTTGGAAGAAGGCTGAGGAATTCCGCATCCCGAACGGCATCCCGTTCCATTCCCAGAGCCCGTCCACTCCATGAAACGTTGTCTTGGCACGATCCTCTTCCCTGATCGGGATCTGGTTGAAGCCTTGTCGCAGATCCAAGGTGGTGAACACCACTGCTCCCACGAGCTTGTCAAATATATCCTCAGGCGTGGGCATGGGGTATCTGTTCGCCTTGGTTATCTTGTTCAGGTCGCGATCTGAGGGGGGGATGGTGTCAAAGTGAAAGAATGATTGATGGGCGGGGGGCAGGAAGGGAACGGGCGGGGGAGATGGGAAGGCAGAAGTAGAAGGACAAGGGGGTGAGGGGGCAGGACAGAGGGGGGAGGAACAGGGGGGAGGACAGAGGGGGAGAGACAGAGTGGGAAGGACAAATGGGGAGAGACAGTTGGGGAAGGGCACAGGTGGAGAGACAGAGGGTGAAGGGAGTGGGGGAGATAGAAGGGGAAGGATGGAGGGGGAGGAACAGAGGGGGGAGGGCAGAGAGTGAGAGACGAAGGGTGAGAGCGGGTTCTTCCCTCACTCCCTCTCCCATCGACCTCAATTCCCCCGAATTCTCCCTCCGCCCTGCTTCCCCCTCCCTATGCCCTGCTTCCCCCCTCCCTCCGCCCTGCTTCCCCCCTCCCTCCGCCCTGCTTCCCCTCTCCCTATGCCCTGATTCCCCCTCCCTATGCCCTGCTTCCCCCCTACCTCCGCCCTGCAACCCCCCTCCCTCCGCCCTGCTTCTCCCCTCCCTATGCCCTGCTTCCCCCCCTCCGCCCTGCTTCCCCCTCCCTATGCCCTGCTTCCCCCCTCCCTCCGCCCTGCTTCCCCCCTCCCTCCGCCCTGCTTCCCCCCTCCCTATGCCCTGTTTCCCCCTCCCTATGCCCTGCTTCCCCCCTCCCTATGCCCTGATTTCCCCTCCCTATGCCCTGCTTCCCCCCTCCCTCCGCCCTGCAACCCCTCTCCCTCCGCCCTGCTTCTCCCCTCCCTATGCCCTGCTTCCCCCCCCTCCGCCCTGCTTCCCCCCCACCTCCTCCCTGCTTCACCCCCCCCCTCCGCCCTGCTTCCCCCCCCCCCTCCGCCCTGCTTCCCCCATCCCTCTGCCTTGCTTCCCGCCACCTCCGCCCTGCATACCCCCACCCTCATAGAGGTGCGCGTCACGCACCAGGTGAGCCTTTGCTTTCCCCATATGCCACCCCTCTACTTGTCTCACCATCTTTTTGAACCCCATGTACCTCTCCTCTCCCTCCCCATGTACATTCGCAAAGAAGAGTGGGGACGCACGCGCAACAAGAGGGCAGCGCAGCAGTCGCTGAGAGCATCTGATGATGGATACGATGCCAACCAGGATGCTGCCTACTTCTCACCACAGCATGTGCGGATGGGTAGGTTCTGCTCGTTGAGACGTCTCAGAAGGCGCCGCACAGCACTTTGTGGCGTGGAAGGTGGATGGGCAGTGCAAGGGGTGTGCTGCATGATGCATGATGTACCTCATTCAATAGGGGGTGTTTTTAGCTGATTTGATGTCCTGTGACCTGTTGCCTTTGTGCCTCTTGTCGCTGCCTCTCCCAGGACGTGCAGAACATCACCCTCAGCAACGCCCACTTCCTTCCCCAGCATTCCCCCAACTTGTCCGTCTCCTTTCTCCCCCACACACCACGAGCATTCCCCCCACTTGTCCGCCTCCCCACATACCCACCTCCATCTTCCACACGCACCACCCACCTTCGACCCCACAAACTGCTTTCATTCCCCCCCACAGACCTCCCTCCATTCAACCCAAATATATCCCTCCTTCCACCCTCCCTCTAACCCTCTCCCCATCTCTCTCGTTCTTCTTTTCTCTCCCTTTCTCATACTCTCACTTACTCCTCTCACTCGCTCTCCTTCCCACATTCTCTCTCTCTCTCTCTCTCTCTCTCTCTCTCTCTCTCTCTCTCTCTCTCTCTCTCTCTCTCTCTCTCTCTCTCTCTCTCTCTCTCTCTCTCTCTCTCTCTCTCTAATGGTCCTTGTATTGATATAGTAATCAGGTACAAGCATGCAAGTCATAGAGGCCTAGGTTACAACCATGCACGGTACAAGCATCACAGATCTACAACTCCACGAGGGGCTCAATGACTGCGAAGCAGTCCCCAAGGTGCAACTTGTTAGAATCCTGTGAAAGGATGAGGACTGAAAATTGAAAGGATTGATCTTAGAATGAAAAGCAGGGGTATACATAGTTGAGCTAGGAGAGTGGGGTTGGTTGGGAGCGTGGCCAAGATTATTGGCCCCCACCAATAATTGGGTTGGAGGAATTATTGGAGCCTCCAATAATCATAGGGCTCCAATAATTCTCTAACCCAACTTTTGGGGGCCAAACATTTTGGCCAAGGTTGGAACCAAACCACAACTAGGGTAAACCCCAGTTGTACACCCAAATCAGGTTTGGGTGCGTAACTCTAGACAAGCAAACTAGAATATGCAGGATAAATTGAATAGAGGTATTCTAACACAACCCCTTAGCCTGCATAAAGCTAGGAGGCTTGAATGAGAGACGGGACAACCCCTGAAGCATGAAGGGGGAGGAGGGGGGGGGCCTGTCGTAAGTGAGGATGCAGGCCAGCCGAAGGTGCCGTGCCGTGCGGTGACAGCAGGAGGGCTGTGAAGGAGAAGGGAGAAGGCTGCGGCAGCGGAAGGGGGACGGCAGCGGCAACGGGAGGGCTGCGGCGGCGAAGGGAGACGGCGGCGGCAGCGGGAGAGCTGCGGCGGCGGAAGGGGGATGGCGGCGGCAGCGGGAGAGCCGCGGCTGCGAAGGGAGACGGCAGCGGCAGCGAGAGGGCTGCGGCGGCTAAGGGGGACGGCGACGGCAGCGGGAGAGCTGCGGCTGCGAAGGGGGACGGCGGCGGCAGCGGGAGGGCTGCGGCGGCGGAAGGGGAACGGCGGCGGCAGCGGGAGAGCTGCGGCGGCGGAAGGGGAACGGCGGCGGCAGCGGGAGAGCTGCGGCGGCGGAAGGGGGACGGCAGCGGCAACGGGAGGGCTGCGGCGGTGAAGGGAGACGGCGGCGGCAGCGGGAGAGCTGCGGCGGCGGAAGGGGGATGGCGGCGGCAGCGGGAGAGCTGCGGCGGCAGAAGGGGAACGGCGGCGGCAGCGGGAGAGCTGCGGCTGCGAAGGGGGACGGCGGCGGCAGCGGGAGGGCTGCGGCGGCAGAAGGGGAACGGCGGCGGCAGCGGGAGAGCTGCGGCGGCGGAAGGGGAACGGCGGCGGCGGGAGAGCTGCGGCGGCGGAAGGGGGATGGCGGCGGCAGCAGGAGAGCCGCGGCTGCGAAGGGAGACGGCAGCGGCAGCGAGAGGGCTGCGGCGGCTAAGGGGGACGGCGACGGCAGCGGGAGGGCTGCGGCTGCGAAGGGGGACGGCGGCGGCAGCGGGAGGGCTGCGGCGGCGGAAGGGGAACGGCGGCGGCAGCGGGAGAGCTGCGGCGGCGGAAGGGGAACGGCGGCGGCAGCAGGAGAGCTGCGGCGGCGGAAGGGGAACGGCGGCGGCAGCGGGAGAGCTGCGGCGGCGGAAGGGGGACGGCAGCGGCAACGGGAGGGCTGCGGCGGCGAAGGGAGACGGCGGCGGCAGCGGGAGAGCTGCGGCGGCGGAAGGGGGATGGCGGCGGCAGCGGGAGAGCTGCGGCGGCGGAAGGGGAACGGCGGCGGCAGCGGGAGAGCTGCGGCGGCGGAAGGGGAACGGCGGCGGCAGCGGGAGAGCCGCGGCTGCGAAGGGAGACGGCAGCGGCAGCGAGAGGGCTGCGGCGGCTAAGGGGGACGGCGACGGCAGCGGGAGGGCTGCGGCTGCGAAGGGGGACGGCGGCGGCAGCGGGAGGGCTGCGGCGGCGGAAGGGGAACGGCGGCGGCAGCGGGAGGGTTGCGGCGGCGGAAGGGGGATGGCGGCGGCAGCGGGAGAGCTGCGGCGGCGGAAGGGGGATGGCGGCGGCAGCGGGAGAGCCGCGGCTGCGAAGGGAGACGGCAGCGGCAGCGGGAGGGCTGCGGCGGCTAAGGGGGACGGCGACGGCAGCGGGAGGGCTGCGGGGGGGAAGCGAGGGGGAAGGGGGAGGAGGGCTGGATGGCCCGAGGGAGGAGGAAGCGAGGGGGAATGGGGAGGAGGGCTCGATGGCCCGAGGGAGGAGGAAGTGAGGGGGAAGGTGGGGGAGGGCTGGATGGCCCGAGGGAGGAGGAAGCGAGGGGGAAGGGGGAGGAGGGCTGGATGGCCCGAGGGAGGAGGAAGCGAGGGGGAAGGGGGAGGAGGGCTGGATGGCCCGAGGGAGGAGGAAGCGAGGGGGAAGGGGGAGGAGGGCTGGATGGCTCGAGGGAGGAGGAAGCGAGGGGGAATGGGGAGGAGGGCTGGATGGCCCGAGGGAGGAGGAAGCGAGGGGGAAGGGGGGGGGGAGGGCTGGATGGCCCGAGGGAGGAGGAAGCGAGGGGGGAGGGGGAGGAGGGCTGGATGGCCCGAGGGAGGAGGAAGCGAGGGGGAAGGGGGAGGAGGGCTGGATGGCCCGAGGGAGGAGGAAGCGAGGGGGAAGGGGGAGGAGGGCTGGATGGCCCGAGGGAGGAGGAAGCGAGGGGGAAGGGGGAGGAGGGCTGGATGGCCCGAGGGACGAGGAAGCGAGGGGGAAGGGGGAGGAGGGCTGGATGGCCCGAGGGAGGAGGAAGCGAGGGGGAAGTGGGAGGAGGGCTGGATGGCCCGAGGGAGGAGGAAGTGAGGGGGAAGGTGGGGGAGGGCTGGATGGCCCGAGGGAGGAGGAAGCGAGGGGGAAGGGGGAGGAGGGCTGGATGGCCCGAGGGAGGAGGAAGCGAGGGGGAAGGGGGAGGAGGGCTGGATGGCCCGAGGGAGGAGGAAGCGAGGGGGAAGGGGGAGGAGGGCTGGATGGCTCGAGGGAGGAGGAAGCGAGGGGGAAGGGGGAGGAGGGCTGGATGGCCCGAGGGAGGAGGAAGCGAGGGGGAAGGGGGAGGAGGGCTGGATGGCCCGAGGGAGGAGGAAGTGAGGGGGAAGGTGGGGGAGGGCTGGATGGCCCGAGGGAGGAGGAAGCGAGGGGGCCGCGACGGTCGCGATTCGGCGGGCGTATGGCGGCGAAATCGCCGCGAAATCGCGTCCGCGCGGCTGCTGGTCGCGACGGCCGCGACGGTTGCGATTCGGCGGGCGTATGTCGCCGAAATCGCCATAAAATCGCGCGGCTGCTGGACGAGACGGGAGGGTGGCCTTGCGCAAGGCAGCCGATGGTCTCGCGAAAGGCGGAGCAAGAGTGGAAGTACACGCAAGACACATGGTCCTAGGATCGGAAGGGGCGTGAGCCAAAATGCTCTGATAACATGTTAGAATCCTGTGAAAGGATGAGGACTGAAAATTGAAAGGATTGATCTTAGAATGAAAAGCAGGGGTATACATAGTTGAGCTAGGAGAGTGGGGTTGGTTGGGAGCGTGGCCAAGATTATTGGCCCCCACCAATAATTGGGTTGGAGGAATTATTGGAGCCTCCAATAATCATAGGGCTCCAATAATTCTCTAACCCAACTTTTGGGGGCCAAACATTTTGGCCAAGGTTGGAACCAAACCACAACTAGGGTAAACCCCAGTTGTACACCCAAATCAGGTTTGGGTGCGTAACTCTAGAGAAGCAAACTAGAATATGCAGGATAAATTGAATAGAGGTATTCTAACACAACTCGTCCCCAATTCCTCCCACGGGCGGGTTCTCAACCGCTGCAGCCTCTCCAAGCTTGAGCAGGAGGCCCACAGATTGGGCCCTTTGCAGGGCCACTGACCAGCGTTGCCTGAATTGGTGCAGGAACTTTGCAGCATAGAACGATTTGGAGTCAGCGTTGAAGTGGCGCCGAGCTGCAGTGTCCGCCAAGAGCTTCAGGAAGACTGGTACTTCCGCACATGGGCAGCCGTAGGTGTCCACAGCTAGCGGGAAGAAAGTCACCGTCTCTGGCAGGGAGGCGTAGTGCTGGATTTTCTTGTCCGCTTGCTCCCGTGCCGCCCAGCCCCTGCCCTTCTGCGCCTCAGGGTCCCTAGTGCTGATAGGGTCAGTGATGGTGACGTCGCATACATAGACGGCCCCACTGCTCCTGTCTGTCATTGTAAAATCAGCCGTCTGTTCCTCAATGGGGCAGTGCGCTGAGGACTCGCTGTGAACGATGAAACCCGCGTCCTGAGCCATGCTAATGCAAGCATCGCGCAGCTCGTTGTGGGTGTTGATGCGATGCTTGCCCGTGCCGCAGCGGAGTAGGTAGGAAGGCGGGGGTCCGTGATGGCAGTGTGGTCTGAACAGTCGCAGTTCTTCGGCGTAGAGAAGGGGAGGGCCAGCCGGAAACGTACGGCATTAGAGAAGTGAGTGGGCCCTATCCTCCTATTGGCCGCAATCGGGATAGCGGTCAGCCAATCCCCGGTCCCGTACCCAGTCAGTGAGTACATCCGCTGTGTATGTCCGCACAAGGGGTTCACCGCCATCTCCCGAGTCGCCTGCACCTGCACGGCGTATCTGCTCCCGTGCACCCTTAGCGCCAAAGCGTGCTGGAGCCTCGTGTCTGATCGCTCCAGCCGCTCTCTCTCCAGGATTTCGCGCGCATCGTCAGGTAATGCCGCTTCACACTCCGACAGCCACGTGTGGAGGGGCGTGGCGACGTCCGCAGGCAGCTGCATGTGGTCCCGCGCCTGCGTCAGCGCGCCCTCAGGGGCGGCGTCCAGTGATGCCATGAAAAGCGCCGCCTGCGTGAAGCTCGCGGCGTACGCGTAAACTCCCTCAATTAGGGGGTCGGTGATGCCTATCCCCCCCAAAGACGGCGGCAGAGAGGCCTGCGCCCAGACACGTGCTTGTTCAGTACGGCAGGTGGGGATGCGGATGTGGCATGCTGTGAGTAGTGCCGCAAGCAGGTCTGTCCCCCACTGGCTCCAGGTGTCGCGAGGCAGAAGGGAAAGCGGTGTAGTTTTGGTGAGGTATGCCACCCGCCTCGAAATGCAGCGGGTGAGCAATAACGAGGCTACTTGTGGGTCGGCTTTCTCAAGCAGTGGCAGAGGCTTGGCCATCTCCCAGAGCTGACCCGACAGGAACTGCGATGCCCCACTGTGAGGCCCCACGAAACTTCCGAGCAAGCGAACGCCTTCCTCGGAAAATGGTACTCCGTGCAGCAACCGATCCTTCACTGCTGCTTCCCTGCTCCAGGCTGCACATTTATGCGCGTTGTGTCTGAGCCCCAGGTGTGCCAGCCTCTCAGTGAAGTGATTGAATGCTGCTACAGTGGCCGTTGCCTCCCCCATGAATGTGACATCGTCGGCGTATGCCAGACACAACACCTGGGGGTATGCTGCAGCAGTGTCGCGGAGTGCTGTGTGCATTCCCGCAGCAAACAGTAGAGGGCCAAGTGGGCCCCCTTGACGCACGCCCCGTTCGCTGGTCAGCGGGTCCGATGCAAAATTCGCATCGACATGTAATTTGGACGGGTTACCGTAGGTCAGTTTCACTAGCGGCAGTAGTGGCGACAACTCCGGCCCTTGTAACGCTGTCGCGATAGCCTGTCGTGAAATGCTGTTGAATGCATTTGAGATGTCAGCTTGCAGCACGAGGCTGTTGGGTAGCTTGTCCAGATACGCCCGCGCCACGTGGATAACTGCCTCGGCTCCTCCTGGCACAGCCATGCCATACTGTAGAGGCAGGAAAAAGGCACGCGCGGCATCTCCCATGGCTGCGAGGGCTGCCTTGGCTGTCAGCCGAGTGATACACTCGCCGATGGCGATAGGTCGAGCCCCCCGCCAGGTTTGGCCAGGGCTATGAGCCGCGAAGCTGTCAATAGGTCCGCCACCGGTGCTGGAAGGTTGCCCCTCAAAATGGTGTTTACCAAGGCATGTAGATGGGTGCTAACTCGTCCGTTCGTGATTGCCGCGTCGCGCATGTGCTCGAATGTCGTTCCCGAAGGTCCGGCACCGACCCCGTTCTCGCACCTCCCCAACAGTTTGGCGAAGTCCCCGTGAGTGATGGACAGTTTTGACTCGGGAGTGGGTGGCCACGTTATCTGTCCTGACTCAGCTGGCGGATGTTTGTGTCGGAGCTCCTCCAGAATTTCTGGAGTCGGTTTGCAGACCGGCGTTGACTCCAACGCCAGCACGGCGCGTCGCAGGCTTCCCCGTTTCGCCAGGCCCTCGGCCCGGCTGATAACCCCGATTGCATCGGGCTGATGACGTGGAGGCGTGGGAGAGTTGACTGCTTCAATCGCGTCCTTGTACAGTTGGTCCCACTCGCCACGCTGGAAGGCTCGGAGCCGGGCCTTGATCTGGGGCCAGTTCGGTCTCAGTGGCGAGGTTTGGCGAAGCGTCAGACGTGGCAGGAAAAGGAGAAGGCGCCAACCTGCCTCTGATTCCGGGTTTCGAGACAGGTGGAGTAACGGGGTCAGTAGTGCCAGCGAGAACAGCTGGCACAAATTTGGCGGTAACCGCCGAGCCAGGGATGGCTGTCGACTGTCGCAGAGGGCTGGGATATCCCAGTTCGCGATGTCCGCGAAACAGTCTGCCCGCATCGCCAGCTCCTCTGGCGTAAAATAACGAGGGAGATTGGGATTTTCTCGCGCCGCTGCCCCGTGCGTCGCGGCCCGATTTCTCCTGGTGCGGCCTGTCCTCACTTGGGAAAATGCGGTTGGAATTTCGCCCGTTCGATTGCCATCGGACGGTCCAGCCGCAGTGATCCTTTGCTCGCCAAGGGACCGCCTTGGTCTCGCTCCCGTCCTTCTCCCGTTCTCCCCTACTCCTTCCTCTGCTACTGTCCCTTCTTCTTCACTCAAGGGAGTTGGCTCCTCCCTATAAGAGGGGTCATTTTCTTCTTCTTCATTACGAAGCCTGTTTAAAGCCCTTCTGGCCTCCGCTTGATAGCCATTCTCTGGCCCTCCTCCTCGTCCGCTAACTGCTTCTCGCCCTTCGCCCCGCGCTCCCCGGCCTCGCGATGGTGATTGCTGGTGTGACCGATTACTCGCCAATGCGCGCTGGCGCTGCGTCGGTTGTGCTCGAAAAGCCATCGTCTGCCTCAGGAGCGGGGACCGTGGCGACGGGGTTCCCGCCGCTGTCTGCTCTGACGCCCGGCCCAGTAGGCGCTGAAAAGACTCCTCCCCTCGAATCCGCAGGCCCTCTTGTCGCAAACGGGGCTGAGCCGTCTGCGCCGATTGTTGCTCCTCCCGCTCCGCCTGTCGCGCCCGCTCCCCCTGTTCTCCCTGTTCCTGTTGTTCCGCCGGCGGCATCTGCTCCTGCCGGGGAGGTCGCTGTTCCTCCTGTCCTTGTCCCCGGCGCTCCCGTTGCACCTGCCGTTGCTGTCCCCGGCGTGCTTGCACCGGCGTCTGCTTCTTCCCCGAGGGCGGCGTCCGCCACCACTGTCGACCCGGCCCCGGTGGTTGCGCCTCAGGGCGTGGATCAGCCTGCTCCTGCTCTCTTGCCGGCGGCTCCTGCGGTGCAGCAGAATCGTCCCCAATCGCCCGACCGTCGTCTCTCCCGCCCCCATTCTCCCGCGCCTCAGCAGGAACGGGCGTCATCGCGGCGCCGGCGCAACTCTCCCCGGCGTTACCAGCAACAGGCGCAGTGGCCCTCTCAGCACGGTGGAAATGGGGGCTGGAGGGGTCCCCGCGGGGCGTTCCGCCCGCCTGTGACAATGGCGGATCTCCAGCGGGAGGTGTCTCGGGCCGTGCGCGAAGAGAGGGCAGCGCAGAGCCAGAGCAGTTCCCTGCGGGACGCGCCGGCGCCTGTGGCTCCTCGTCCGGCTGCGCCTCCTGCGGTCCCTCCGTCGGCTGCCGCACCTCCTCCACCCGTTCTCGCCCCCCCCGCTCCTGCTCTCTCCGTAGCAGCGCCGGCTCCCGGCTCCTGCCTGCATCTGCCGCCGGTTCCGCCTGTTGCGGGGGTGGAGTTTGTGGCCGCGAGTGGTGGCGCGGCAGCGGCTCAGTATGCAGCTGATGAGCCGCTCCAGTTCCTGGCGGAGGCACTCCAGCCTCCGCAGACTCGTGTTCCCCAGACGACTCTCGGCCAGCTCCACCGCCTGGCGGAGAGTCTTCACGCACTGCTGCTAATCTAGGTTCTCGCTCACACGTCCCTCCCCGTGGTTCCTCCTGAGACGTTCCGCGACCGTCCGCGCGAGACCTGCTTGGATGCGGCGGACCAGCTCGCCGTGCTGCTGGCGCCCGTGCTGGCTGCGCCCGCGGAGGGTGGCGCTGCTGCTGCGGGACAGCTGGACGAGGCTGTCCGGAGCTTCAAGCGCCACTTGCGCGCTGGATCTGGAGCCGCGGCGATCGGCGCAAGCACGCTTGTGGTCCGGGAGCTGTGGCGCTCCCTGACGGGCGTTCTTCACGCCCTCGGAGCTCACCGCATGTAGTTGCGGGCTCCCCTCTATCTGTCTCCGCCATTCTAGGCCGCTATGTGTGATGCCATGTGTGTATGTCAACACAGTAGTGAAGTTCTTTGCGCTGTGTGCGCTTGCCGTCCCCTCACGCGCGGCCGAAGGCCGCGCCGTCGAGCTTTTCCGGCCCACAAATGAATAATGAGCAGAGGAGGCACGAACAGCTACTTAAGTACCTAAGAGGACGAGGGCAGAGGCTAAGGGCAGAGGGCAGAGGCTAAGCCTCTCTCTCTCTCTCGCTCTCTCTCACGAGCGAAATTTTCCGGCCCACAAATGGTAGGTCTCATTGTGTTTTTTTTTTCCTTCGTAAGTTCTTTATGCATTGGCTTGTTCCGAGCTTCTGTGCGTGCGTGTGTCCGTCTGATTGCGTGCGTATGTGTTCGTATATGTGGCATTCATCTACCATATCATTGTCCATCTATTATTTCATTAACAATGCATGTCTGTGGTTTTTAGAAATGAGAATCAGTTCTATCATTTCCCAAAGGTTCATTGAGTTACACTCGAACGGGTACGCTCACTTGAACTGGATTTGGTAGGCTGATCTCGTTTTTAGACTTCACAGATTGTGTTGTTTCATGTGATAATTGATTATTCAAGTGCTAAGCTATTAACCTCCCCCCCATGCTAGGCAGGGGATGGCGGTAGCTTAGTTTTTGGGTTGTTAACTGTCACGCATTTTATCATGTGCATGTGCATCATTCATGATATCACATGCATTGTATAGCACCATTCTATGCATTATGCATTCTATAGCATCATTTATGCATTACGCATGCATCTATTTATCATTACACAACATCAACAGTAACATATATTACAAACAGTACAGCAAATATACACTAAACAATTGTAAAAAAACAATTGTAAAAATATCATATGGTTTAATGCACTATGAACAGTAAGGTATTTAAAAGTGCTCAACATGCATACACTACATGAAGGGTATTACTGTAGTCGACAAATTTTATTTTCATGATTTTATTAAAAAATATAAATATGAAAATAAAATTAGGCACAATCGATCGTAAAGGGTTACTTCGCAACCCAAAAAAACCTGAAAGGAGAGGAGAAACAAAGGGTAAAGGAGGGGTGAGCAGGGCAGAGGATGGCGAGCATGGGGAAAGGAGTAAGCAGGGACCATAATGGACAGCAAGGGTGAGAATGAGGGGAAGCAAGGGGGGGGCATGAGGGGAAGAAAGGGGGTAAATGAGGGGAAGCAAGGGGGGAAAGGCGAGACAGGGTGGAAGGGGGAAAGTGCGAAAGAGAGGAAGTGAGCAAGGGAGGAGATTGGACGAGGGAGGGAATAAGGGTCGAGAAGGGAGGGAAGGGCGGGCTAGCAGGGAGGAAACAGGAGGCCTGCAGAGAGGGAAAAGAGGGCTAGCACGGGGGCAGCAAGGGGCTAGCACGGGGTAAACGAGGGGATAGGAAGAGGGGGAAGAGGAGAAAGGAGGAGATAGGAAGAGGGGTAGGAGGAGAAAAGGGGAGAGAAGGTTTCGGGGGGATAGGGAAGATGGGAGATGTAGGAGAGGAGAATGGATGAGAGAGGAGAGGGGAGGGAGGAGAGGAAACGTAGGAGATTGGATGAGGAAGGAGAGGGAAAGGAAGAGAGGAAAAGGGGCAAGCAGCGGGGGGAGACGCGTGGGGGAGAGGGTGGGGCGATGGAGAAGAGAGGTGGATGAGAGTGCGAGGGTGAGAAGCAGAAAAGCACATCCAGCCTCACATGCAGTGTAACACACGCTGCTGCCTCACATGCAGCCTCACATGCAGTGTAACATGCACTGCAGCCTCACATGCACTGCAGCCTCACATGCACTGCAGCCTCACATGCACTGCAGCCTCACATGCACTGCAGCCTCACATGCACTGCAGCCTCACATGCACTGCAGCCTCACATGCACTGCAGCCTCACATGCACTGCAGCCTCACGTGCAGCCTCACGTGCAGCCTCACGTGTGCAGCTTACTGACCACTTGGTCGTGATCCATCAGCTCACAGCGCGCACCAAGAAACATTGTCAAGGCGCACTCTGGGCGGAGCATATGATCACCCACACACAACACAACCCCGTGCAAGCATATGAGGATCACTCTCGGCCCCCCATGCACACAGCACTGCACCGCGCAGCACCGCACAAAGCACAGCACAAGCAGGGCAGGGCCGAGGAGGCAGCAGGGCAGGCGAAACAAGCGTACCTGCTGGCCAGAAAGACGCTGGGAGGACTTTTGCGGCGCAAGCTACAGCACAGCAGGAGAACAGCCTCAAAAAGCCTACCTGCTGGCCGACAAGGTGCTGGGAGGAGTCAGAAGAGCAGGTGATGCTGGGGTTGTAGGAGTAAACATAGCAGCGCTGTGAGCAGCGACAGCAGAGCACCGCACAGCGTCACACAGCACCGCACCGCACAGCACAGCACAGAACAGCCTAAATAAAGCGTACCTGCTGGCCGACAAGGCGTTGGGAGGAGTCAGCGGAGCCCGGGGTTGTAGAAGTAGAGCTGCAGCGCTGTGATGGGCGGCTGTGCCTTAGCCATGACATCCAAGCACGTCTCACCCGGGTTCACCGTGTAATAGCTCGTGCACGACAGCGGCTATGGCGTGCCCTGATCCATGCACAGCTGGTGGGAGGAGCAGGGGGAGAAGGGCGAGGAGGGAGAAGGGTGAGGAGGGGGCGGAGGAGAGGGAGAGGGAGGTGGAGGGAGAGTGAGAGGGAGGAAGAGGGAGTGGGGGGGTAGAGGGTATGGCAGGTGAACGGTGTGCAGTGGTGGAGGGAGGGAGGTGGCAAGACGTGAGTTTAAGGAAGGTGGGAAACTATGTGCGAGTGGAAAGAGGGCGGGTGCACCTGGCAGACCAGGCAGAGAGAGAGGAAAGAGGGGGGGAGAAGGACCGCTCAAGAAGAGGAAGGAAGGTGGGGAGGAGGAGAGAAGGCAGCAGGGTGCGCACCAGGAGCGCAGGTCAGGCAGAAAGAGAGAAGAGGCGGGGAGAGAGAGAGAGAAGGGGGGGGGGGGAGGGAGGAGAAGCCGGGGTGGCACGCACCAGGAGCGCATGTGAAAGGAAGAGAGGAAAAGGGGCAAGCAGCGGGAGAAGATGACGGAAAGGAGAGGGAGAAAGGAGGGGAAGCAGGGGGAGGAGGGGAAGCAGGGGGGAAAACGAGGGGAAGCAAGGGGAGAAAGGTGGGGAAGCAGGGGGGGAAGGAGGGGAATCAGGGGAGGAAAAAGGGGGAAGCAAGGGGGGACAGGAGGGGAAGCAGGGGGTGAAAGGAGAGGAAGTAGGGGGGGAAAGGAGGGGGAGCAACGGGGGCTAGGGGGGGAAGTAAGGGGGGAATGGAGGGGAAGCAAGGGGGGAAAGGAGGGGAAACAAGCGGGGAAAGGAGGGGAAGCAACGGGGGAAAGGAGGGAAATCAGGGGAATCCGCGCCTCATCCCCTTACGCGCCTCATCCCCCTCCGCGTCTCATCCACTTCCGCGCTTCATCCCTTTCCGCGCATCAGCCCCTTGCTTGCACCCAGGAGCGCGCACTGCTCGTAGCCCGGATCGCGCGCTGCGCGTCGCAGGGAGCGTGCGCTGCTAGACGCCCGGAGCGGGCACTGCTCGGCGTCGCCGGTTGCGCGTGCTCCGCGTCGCGAGATCCGCGCAACCTAAACCTCGACAGGTGCGCGGTCCGCTCCTTCGCCCGGTGTGCGCTCTGGTCCTCGCGTGTTGCACGTTTCGAGGGGAGCCTACAGCGTGGGCTCACTTCTATCTGCAGGGTTGTAAAATGTCGTCACGCCTGTACTACGGCTTGCATTCCTTGTAGTGACTAGTTCCAATGGTCTCTCCGTAGTCTACAGAATGACATTTCCCTTCTCCAGCTCGTCCTTAGCACGTGCGTCGCTCAGTTTTCCTACTTTGGTTAGCATGGAGTTGAATCAACGGGGAGGAGATGTGTTGTGCAGGCTCACTTTGTTCGTCGTAAGCGTGGGCATTTGTGTGAAACCTTTGGATGGCCAAGGAATCTCTCCATGCGACACACTTTTCGCATTAGGTTGGTGGGAATCGCAGGTTGGGTGTGCGCGAAATGTTCACTTGCTCGCGGATGGATCTTGATCTCGCCAAAGCCACACAGCCGAAATGGGTTTCGCACACCCTCCTTTTGAACTAATTCAAGCCTCACATAACTTGAAATTTTACCATGCTGACCCCAGGCTTTAAATGTGAGACTAGAAGAACCCCCATGAATTTGGTATTTATCAGAGATCTTGCGTTGGCAAAGATAGCTTTGATACACTACACAAAAAGCCACAGTTGTGAGATGGGAACAGTAATTAATACACAAGGTATTCTAATCAATACACAAGGTACGATTTGTGATCAGTCTTCCCAATCCGCACTGCATCTCCATCTCATATCTATTCTAGCCAGCAAACCCTTCCCTTGCCGACACAGCCTACCTCTAAGAGCTGGTAGGCCCATCTGCAGGGGAACATTCACGTCCCTCATCTCATCATAAACATTTAGAAACCATGCATCTTGATGAGGTCTTTCTTCGCAATACCAGCCTGGATAAGGAACTGGGAAACGTTCTTCCGCTGGTCGCCCTGAAGCTGAATGACCTGTAATTCGGTAACAAGAAGCAAAACGTTGGTAAACCGGAGCATGATCCACTGAGACTCGAGGACATACGGAATAAACAAACCGAATACCAACCTGACCAAGCTCGATGTCTTGAACGACGGTTCCGTTGCAGCAAAACTCCTGAGAGAGAAATAAATCAGAACACAGAAGCTTAGCCATCCACTTGTACATAAACATCCGATCACAATATTCAACAAGCCTTACCTTCTTAAAATCCTTCAATATCTTGTTGTAGTTGAATTCTTTCTTTAAGCCTTGAACAGTCGTCAGGCTCTTACGACCATTCCGCTGCTGAATACGGATATGGACGTAATCCTTAGTTCCGGCTCCAGGATCATCAGCAGCATTCGCGTCAGCAAACGGGTCTGCAAGCAAGTTCAGGAACGGTCAAGACAGGGTCTACACCAGAAAGTGTTGAAGAGAAGCTAAGCCGAACAACAGCAACACGCTACCACGTACCGAAGGCCCCAGGAACCTCGAGTTCTAAATCGGACATGAACGAAGGATTGAAGATGCGCCTTGGAAGCTGAAGGATGTCAAGAGGCTACGGAATCTGGATGATAGCAAACCCTAGCAAGTGTCTGGAGCTATACAAAGTGGCAATGATCTGACAGAAGGACTGAATGTTATCAAGGCTTTCTTGGTTCTGCCAGTGGATTTATCCGAACTTGGGTTTGGAGGGTAGAAGGGTTGAACGGTCACTTTCTGGAACAACTTCTCCGTGGCGGGCAGATCTTCCGTTTCGTGCAACCAGCGATGCCGTAGGGGAGAAGTTTCGCCACGTCGGCGACCTTCGCGAAGCCCAACAACTCCTGTGAAAATACTTCTGTCGCGTCAGCATCATCCCCACCTCATCAGGCCGCAAAGTGCTGCTTGTCAGTGCTGCACGCAGACAAAAATACAGCGTTGTACACTGAGCTGGATATAATAGCGTTGAATGTAACGTTCTTGTCTGCTACAATTGATATATCTGTGAAATACAGCACTAACTACAATTTCATTGAAGCTATTCTTTTGAGATTCATCTTGACAATGCAGTTACTCATAAGGTCCAGATCGGTTATTGGAAAATCTGTACAGGACTACTTTGTGTCATCTGGTGCTTGTCGAACATCCAGCATGGGTGCCATGTACAAGTATGAAGCATGCATTACGAAGAGGGGGAAAAGGAAGGGTTGACAAAGGATAGGAGCACGAGAAAGAGGAGGCCAGGGCATGGAGTGATGAAGGGTGGGAGAGGAGTGGGTAAAGGGCCTAACCATCAGTGAATGCCAACCAGATTATAAAACGAACACACTACTTGCGTAAACACGCACAAAAGCAAATTCTATTAACTGCAAGACATGTTGGTCTCACCTGTGGTGGACGCACTCTTTCCCGTGGCACGTGTGATTTTGCGCTTGGGTCCGAAATTGTCAAAATACACTTTGGCAACAATCATGAAGATTAAGAGCGCAATCTCCACGGATTCAGGGATGTAGATGACCCATAAGCCAAAATGAATAGAATAAACGACGTAGAGTAGATGCGCGAGGGCAAAAATGAATTGCCTGCGCATGGTGAATCCAGAGAAAAGGAGAATGGCATGGAAAAGGGAAAACAAGACTGACGTGAGGACTGCTGATACAACCGAAGGATCAGTGGATAGGATAGAATGTGTTAAGCCTGAAAGGAGACAGTAAAGTCTCTGTAGTGACCTTGTTGAATAATAGTTGAAAGAGAACAAGATGATTGAGAGATAGAAGTACAAGGAATTAAATAGCAACTAACTAGCCATGTACTATGAGGGGTACATTCCCTTATTAACAGTATTACATAGCTACAGTAACTGCGACTATTACTATCCTTGACAGTTACCGTGTTGCAGACAGTTAACTGTCGCGCGGTTACCGGATCGTCAAGGGTCACGACCGTTGACTTCCTCAAACGGTTGACCTTCGGGTGACCCTCGACATTCCGCGTGCTCTATATGAGCTCATGCGGTACTGGTACAAAGGTACAGCTTCGGGAATGCCTTTATAACCTTTCGGTTATTCCAACACTCCCCTTCATTCCTGAAGGTGGGCCACGTGGGATTTCTTGGTGATCCCGCAGAGGTCGGCGCAGTGCTGGTACTGCTGACGTGGCAGTTTCTTCGTCAGGAAATCGGCTGCCATGTCACCGGTCGGGCAGTACGTCAGCTTGACTCTCCCCTTGTCGATTTCGTCCTTCACGAAGAAGTAGCAAAGGCTGATGTGCTTGGTGCGGTTGACGAAGCCGGGCTTGTTTGCGATCTCTATCGCGCTCTGATTGTCGCAGAGTAACGTGAAGTGCCCGTTCATCGTCACCTTCGCTTCTTGCAGGAGCTCCATCAGGTACAACCCTTCGCGAACAGCTGCGTTGGCTGCGATGAATTCTGCTTCGGCTGACGAAAGGGCGATGAGTTTCTGCTTCTGGGAGTTCCAGGAGATGAGTCCCGCAGGTTGAAGTTGAAAAATAAATCCTGTGTGGGAGCGTCTGTTGTCAACATCTCTTGCGTGATCAGCATCCACGTAGCCATGGAGTTGCAGAGTAGCGGTGAGGTTAGCTTCGTAGGTGAGGCCGACGTCGCGAGTGGAGACGAAGTACTGCAGTGCTCGGCGTAGATCCAGCAGATTCTCCCCTTCAGGTCGCTTCAGGTACTGTGCGAGCTGGCTAGCGACGTAGGAGAGATCGGGCCGGCACGTGACGGCGGCGAACAGGAGGCAGCCCAGCTGCTGCTGGTAGAGACGATGGTCGTCGGGAGAGAGCGGCGTGGTGTCGGGCTCGTGGTTAGGAGGAGGAGTGCGGTAGGGGGTAGTGAGGTTGATAGGGGCGATGGCGAACCGCTTTGCGAGTGTTTCGGCGAACTTGGCGGCGGAGAGGTGAATGGAGGAGGCGGACTGAGTGACGTTGAGGCCGAGGAACTGAGTGACGTTGTGGTTGACAGTCACTTCCAGCTTTTCTTTGATGTCGGCTTCAAATTGGTCCAGCAGCTCCGTGTCGTCGCCGGTGTAGAGGAGGTCGTCGACGTAGGCGACGAGGAGGATGAATTTTCCCCGCGACTCCCTTCTGTACATCTCGAGGTCGTGCGGCAGCTGAGTGAAGCCGAGCTCCAGGAGAATGGAATGCAGGTACTGCTGCCACAGACGAGGGGCTTGCTTGATTCCGTAGAGGGATTTTTGGAGGAGGCACACGGCACCGTCGCTTTCTTCGAATGCGTGCGGCTGCTCGACGAAGATGATGGCATCGACGGGGGCGTACAGGAAGGCGTATCCAACGTCGATTTGCCGGAGTGGTCGCTGTTTGACGGCGGCGATGCAGATGAGGATGCGCACCGAGGTGTGGCGGCCGACTGGAGCGTAGGTGAGCGTGAAGTCCACCAGGTGAGTTTGCTCGAATCCCCGCACCACCCAGCGCGCCTTGTACTTGTCGATCGAGCCATCGGCGAGAGTCTTGATGCGGAAAACCCATTTGCCGCTGAGAATTTTTCTCTCCTTTGCCGATGACCGTGGTACCAGCTTCCAGGTGCCGCGCTTCTTCAGCGACGCAATTTCGGCGGCCATGGCTGTTCTCCACTTGTCGCTGTCGGGGCCAGACAGGGCTTGGCGGACGGTGGTGGGTTCCTTGGGCGAGGTGTGGCGAACTGCGACGACGAGGCCGAGAACCCGAAGACCGGTTTCGTTGGTCTTTTCGTAGTGAAGACGATCGTAGTCGTGGAAGCTGGTAACCTCGACCACGTCGTCATCGCTGTCGTTGCCGAGGCGGAGGGTGTTCTGCGACGTGTTGGGTTGTGGTAACTCAGCATCAGGCGATCGGCGTGCTTCGCTGTTGTAGTTGTGAGCTTCGCGTGTTATATCATCCGGATCGGGTTGGTGTACGGGCACAAATGTCGGAGTTCCGAATTGGCTCGTAAGGGGGATGTTCGGAGCAGAATTCATCTGGGTGACATCAGGTGCGTCTGCATCCTCAGCCAGATCAGCTTCGTCGTGTGACGTGGCGAAGCTGCGGTGGCCCTCGAAGAGCTTCTCGGGTAGCTTGTCAGCTTCCTAGTGCTCCTTGAAAGAGGGCAGAGTCAGCTTCTTGTAGAAGATGCAGTCACGTGATTTCGTCACCTCGTGTGTCGCGTAGTTCAGCACGATCCACGCCTTGAATTCCTTTTCGATCCCGAGGTGGATGCCCCATCTTGCCCGGTCAGCAAATTTTCCCGTCCGCGCAGTGTGGGGTCTGTACTGTACCATACAACCGAACACCCGAAGCAGGCGTGTATCTGCTTTTCTGCCCGTCCAAGCCCGGTAAGGAGAATTGTTGTCCTTGAGGCTTCGTGAAGACAGCAAGTTGTGCAGCCGAACAGCGTGATTCATCGCAAATGGCCAATATCTGGTTGGGATGGCCGACTGCTTCATCAGAGCCCTCATCCGCGTGGCGAGGCTCCTGTTTGTCCGTTCTGCTACGCCTTGCTGTTGGTGAGCGTAGGGCAGAGACACCAAGTGCTCAATTCCCTTTCGCTTGAAGAGTTCCTTGAACTCATCCGAGAAGAACTCCAGGGCCCCATCTGTCTGCCAGGCCTTGAGTTTTAGCCCAGACTGACGCTCAGCCCGCTTCATCCACGCAACAAAGCACTCAAAGGCCAGTGACCTGCAGTCGGTGTTGATCGCCCAAACGTAGCGCGTAGAGGCGTCGATGAAGGTGAGCGTGTAGTACTCTCCATCGAGCCCTTCCTGGCTGAGCACCAAGAAATCGCTGTAGACCTTGTCCAGCGGTTTTTAGCGTTCGTATCCCGGAGGTAGGTCAGGAAACGGCTTGTGATTGAGTGATGCAGTTGGGCAGACCATGCAGGGTGGATTGGGAGAGTCCGCGGTGAGGGAACCGTCTCGGGGAAGAAGAAGTGCGTCGTCGTCGAAGACTCCAGCCTTTAGCGGATTTTTGAGCGTGGCGTGAGATGGATGTCCAAGTCGTTGGTGCCATGTTGCTGGGTCCGCACGGTAGCTGACTGTCTTCTGATAATATTTTTGTCGTGCTGCTTCGTCGTTTGCCTCCCCTTCAGGTCCTGCGTCGGCGGCGTTATCCATGTCGGTGGCGAGCGCGCGAATTGCCTTCCGTTCCAGAAGCGCGCGGGGAATACCGATGATGTCGTCGGTATCGCCAGTTTCGACTTGGTCACCGGTGACGAGCAGGCATCGATCAGGCCAGTTCTGAGCGGGGAGTCCTGACATGGGAATCCGGTAGTAGCTGTATTCGGCGCCAATGACCTCAATTTCTTGGGGTCCTTGTACTGGCGGCTCCGGTTCTTCGGTCGGTTCAGGTAATTCTGCTGGTTCACCCATGAACTCGTAGGTCTCCTCTTCCTCTGATTCCTCTTGTTTTGGTGGTGGTGTGTCAGGAGCGTACTGATCTGGAAGAGGAGGGCCTCCCCAGCAGGTGCCGCGAGTTGCCCAGTACGGATCGACGATGGCGACTTCCGCGGGAGGAAGGCCGGCTGCTACGGCGTGTCCTTGTTCCGCTTCGCCCGAAGTGCCCCAGCCCCCTCCGGTGCCCCACGTGTTTCCGGTTGTTCTTGCTTCTCTGACTGCTGCGTCTTTGGCTTCTGCCCCAACTTCCCCAGATGGGGGAGGAGGAGTCCAGCCAGTGCCACCTTCCTTGGTTGGGGCAGGGGGAGTTCCCCAGCCAGTTGCAGCAATTTCTTCTGTTGCGATGGTGCCCCATCCGTTTGCGGCTGCTTCTTCTGGAGTCAGAACTTCACACCAGGATCCAAGCGCGAGTCCGGAAGTGTCCCAGCCTGTCCAGCGCGTTTCCGCCGGTGTGTTTCCCTCGGCGGGTTGTGTTGCGGGGCCTGACGTGCCACTGTCTTCCTCCATGGTCTCAGCAGGGTTCGAGGTCGAGGCGGTCGGGACAGTGCGCAAGCGCAGAAGGCCGTCAGAGGCGGGTCGCTCGAGGTCCATCTCGTCAGGATGTGACCACGTTGGCGCCTCCGTGGGAGTCGTTTTCAGGAGCAGCGTGCGGTGGGAGTCCCCGATTGTGCCCTGAGCGGAGAACTGCAGCACGAAGACTCCGTCGTCATCGACCGCCTTTCCGATGTAAGTCTCGTTATGGAAGAGTTCGAAGGTCTTTTCTTTGCGGTTGCTGCGAATGTCGATTCCGCACCGCATGAGTTGAGCTGACGAGAGCAGGTTGTACTGGAGATCTGGTGCGACGAGGACATCTTCGATGTGAATAGTGAACTTGGTGTCGTTGGCCTCAAGGTAGATTTCGCCAATCTCATATGCCTTCATCTTTCCGTTGTTGGCGGCAGTGATTTCGCAGGGTCGACGCATGCGCCGGGAGTTGGTGATAAACTTTGGCGATCCCACCATGTGTTGCCCGCAGCAACTGTCGAGGTACCAGGTGTTCAGATCCTCGTGGCGCTGGCGAGCGAGATTGGCGATCTTGGGCGTGATGATGCGA